CACAGATGCTGTAAAACTCTCAGTTGCATAGAAAACCATGGGCCTTAGGCTTCAAACAAGACACAGCTGTGTGTAGTACAGGGAGCATCACCTAATTTTCTACCAGCGGTAATCATTAATGCGTACCGACACAGCAGCTATTTAATTTACGAACAAGACACCACCAACAAAGTTTACAGGTCTGTAGACGATCAGCTGAGAAGAAGATGATTGTGTGAGCAACTTTGTTCGTACCATTGATGGTGCGCAGGTTAGCACACCACCACCACCACCATTGTGACCACCCCCGCTGTACCCTCCACGGTGCTGTCAAGTGTCTCAGAATGTTCCGGAGAGGTGCCTCGCTTTTTGACAAAGGATTGGTCTCGACGGCACGCACGCCATTCGACACAAACACGCGCAGCGGTGAACGTGGAAACTCTCGTCGTGGCAAAGTCCAGAAGCCCGGCGCAGGGTTTGCCGGGCCAATCTTCTCTGCCTCGTGCTGGCCCCCACTCCTCCTGGTTGTGCCCAGTCTCGTTTTTGGTCCTTGCACTCCTCCGCCGGAGTAAACTCCCCACGTACATTAAGAGCCCCCCGCCCCCGGCTCCGTAGCCTCCTTCCGTTCCTCTCTTAAAGCCTCACCTCTTCTCCATTGCACAATTCTCTTAATCTTTCCTACCCCCCTCCGCCTCTATTTCCTTCCCCTCTACCCCTTTCCTCACCCCTAAGTACCTCTCTTTCTTGGTTATCCATTCCTCGTCCCTTGCACGGCCGTGCCATTTAAATGATACTGGTTTATACCGTTTTTTAAACTATGTTAAGCGCCTTAATGAACACAGGTGCTATTTCAAATATTAAATAACATGAGATAAATGCCTTACTTTGGCGACCTGAGTGCTATCAAAGTGAATCTTTTTCAAATATCTTATAATTCAGCTGCTGATACTTGAGCTGAAAGTAAAGCGCACCAGCTCTACCCAAAGCATACTGTAAGTAATAAACATTTGCATTGTTGAAGTGACTGGGTGGATATGGGGCTAATTCTGTATTGGAGTGGTGAGTTGGCACTACACAGATCCTGGGTTTGAATTGATGTTTCAGCCTCCTGTGATTAAACCATGTTCTCATAGTGAGTGAAAGATCTTGGCCCAGCCACCAATGACTCCACAAAAAAAACACTGTGTTTTATTTGGGTTTTCACTTTATTTGGCTTTTTTTAAACCGAGTAAATGTGACCTTTATTATTTGATTGACACGTGACATCTTCCTAAGGCCACACTATTAGCGTGTTTGGACTATTCCATAAAGGAATCCACAGTGCCCGGAGAAAACCCACACATATGATGGGAAAACACTCAAAGCACTGCACAGTTAAAATCAATTGACTGCTGTACTGACATTCATATTCACCTCTCAGAATGCCCACGAAGGTCCCCAAGTGTGGATGAAGACGGCAGATTGCCCCGAGTGTAGATAAAGGGAGCTGTTGAAGTGGCTTTCATATATCATCTTGTGACGTTACTTTCCGAGGCCGTTGTGACTTGTATGCATGCATGTTGAACTGCTTTCGCACCGTACGTAGTCAACGGTGCTAATGGGAGGTGCGGATTTAAGGTAACGCTACACATCTTGCTGTGAGCGTTATGATCGCAACACCGTTATAAATCGTGGAAGTAACAAAAAAAGCCGAATCTACACGTCAAAGTTGTGTCACCAAAGGAACAGCCTCCTCAGCCTGGCTACCGCTCGCACGTGTCCTGGGATCGACGCCTCCTCAATTCCGTAGCACAAAGGCAGATGCAGCGCGTTGAGTTGTACATCCATCGATGGTTACGAACCCTCAGCTGCAGTTCACAACCCGTGACGTTTACCACCCGCAGCCTGACACTCGTTCAGACAGCACCAGTATCGGGGCCGAAATGTCATCAGCCGAATACATTCCAGATCGATCGCCTCACCACTGCCTCCCTGCCCCTTGACAAGCGTGGAGATCTGGACTGGATTAGAGCCTCCGAGAGCCAAAGTTTATGATTCGCAGGTGAATATCATGGTGGTGTCAGGACCCTTTCAGTTGTACAAAGGCCCTGTTACAGTATACTTTGATGCAAGACGGTCATTTGACAACGTGGTTCCGTCGATTGCCGCACGTTGAAAACAGCAGAAAGCTTCAGTGCAATGAAACAAGTGTGACTATCGTGCCGAAATTACGGGAAAAATAACTGCAACAAAAAGGCTTTGTTTGGGACAGTGTGATGGAGACCGGTTTGCGTCGCTGAGTGGGAGGTACCTTACGAAGTATATCTTGCTCGTAATATTAAAAAAACACATTTTTGTTTTATTTGACCAGGTAAGGCCCACTGAGCTACAAATGATATCTCAACGAAGTGGCTCATCACGTGGAAATCGTGAATCGCAGCCAAATACTCTAAACGCGTGTTTCGAAAAGGTGGAGGGGGGAAACCTCGAAGGACCCGCAGAAAAATCCATGCGACCACGAGGAGAGAGAGCGACATGCAAACTCCAAATACACAGACGTCAGGGGGATACCACGCAGGATAGCCTCCTTCCTCTCTCTGCTCCGGTGGAATTCCGGGTTGTGTCCAAATGCGCGCGCCTGTTTGTGTGTTTGGACTCGGAGACCGGTGCCAGAAGACGGGGAACGTCGAAGCCTCCTCCTCATTCAGCCTCAGGAGTACACGCGTGGTTCACGCAGACGCGCGCGTGTGGGTACGTGTGCGTGGAGGCAACGTGGATGGTTTAGGGGCCATCCATTTAGTACGTACGCATGGAGGGGGGAAGGGGGTTAACCCAAATGCGTAAGCTTGCGTATGGGGGGGGGGTGTCTTACTGCCAATGTGCGTACGCATAGGAAACGGAGGTGGGGGGGGATGAAGCCTCGATAATGTTTTGTCTACACTGGCCTTCAAATGAGCGACAGTTCAGTTTCTTCAGCTGTGAGACAACAAGTTCTACCGGGAGAAGTGGGGCTGTGGGAGAGGTGTCACTTCGTGTGTTACCGTGCCCCTGACTGCTATCTATTATCACGCAGCTCAGCAAAATAAGTGGCCAAGGTGCGCAACTTAATTCTTTAATGCAGCCGGCGGTGGAGTCTCTGTTTGCTTAACCATGTTAATAGTATGAATCCTTGATAGTTTCTGCGTGGATTTAATGTCGGCCGTTCTATAGGATTCGGGGGGTGCGTCAAGCGTACGTACGCAGGTGGGGGTGGGGGTGTAACAAGTACGCGCGCGTACAGGGTTTGGGGGCAGGTGTCAAGTTTTGATAGATTTTTGCGTACCTACTCAATGGATGGCCACTTACAATGCGCAACACCCGCACACATGTCCCCCCTCGCACGTGCGTGGACATGCGCGCAAATCGGTGTGGATGCCCTGTCCGTTGAAATCGCGCTCTCGATGACATCGCTTGCGATTTAGGCAAATCGCGTGCAAGCGATATATGACGATGTTACGCGCGGGGTTGGCAGAGCGAACCACGGTGGTGGAAAGCGAGACGGAGGAAAAAAGTGAGAAACGATAAGCAATGCAAATGGGGTATAGTGAAAGCGAGGCAATAACAAAAAAAACGTTGTGATTCCTGAATGAAATCGCGACGCTGACTCGTGGATAAGCGACGGGCTGCGGGCAGGGCGCAGCAAGCGGTGTCAGATGCTGATATTGCAAGTGACCGTGTGGCTGAGTACGGGAGATTTGTGTTCGTGTGAGATGATGATGACTTAAAACTTTCGTGACTGCAGAAATTCATTTTCTTGGTTCTTTCGGTAAAGTCACGTAGGTAGAAAATAAAATTAATAAAATTAAAATTTTAAATAATAAATTGAAGATAATCAAAGCAAAAAACCCAATTTTGTTTATATCTACGTGACTTTACCGAAAGAACCAAGAATATGATGATGATTATTGCATTTCATGTGAAAGCCGGATGGCGGCTCCTTGCTGTCAATATTAATCCACGTCGAGTAGCTCCGGCTACCAGAACATGCAGCAATTCCTGGAGGTCATCATCAGCCAGGTCAATCCGCTGCTGGATGAAGAAGGGGCTCGCATCAGCCGCCACAGATAGTTGCAAGGATAACGTGCAGGCTGCTCTGTGATGAAGACCTCTCCACACCGTGTACAAAAGTTAAACTCATGTTAGGCCCAAAACGCTATAGCCGCTAGCGAAAAATTGGACCATTAAATGATATACTTTGATTAAAATATAATATATTTTATATAATTATGACAAGAATTGAAAATTATTTATTTTATTAAATATTCAGGTATAACATAAACACACAATCACGGGGGAATTGGAATAATGGAAAATAGTTCACATCCCTTTATCAAGGCACTTAATTTAAAGCTTTCGTGACTGCAGGGATTCATATTCTTGGTTCTTTCGGTAAAGTCACGTAGAAGGGAAGCAATAAAATAATAAAAATATACATTTTATCGTTTTATATTTTTATCATTTTATTGTTTCCCTTCTACGTTACTTTACCGAAAGAACCAAGACTATATATAAGCCACTTGATGTGATGCTAGACAGCACAGGTAATGTAGATATATATCGGTCACATTTTGGTCAAATTTAAGTATATGCTGCGAATCTACATATATGGTTTCCAGAGGCAGACTTTGTAGCAGTGAACATTGGGGGCTGCAATGCTGATGAGTTCGAATTTCTGATAAAAACCAGTCCACAGTTGTCTGTCACTGCATCACTGTTGTGTCAGTTGCTCACATTGTCTCAACTTCATTCAGGTGGTTATATAAGACAATCTGACCACAATGCACTTCTTCAGGGAATGCTGAATTATTTTTCCTCCATATGTACAAATGGCCGTATGCTTTCTTCACCTATTTGTGTCTTGTTTGACACGCATGGTTTTCTATCTCGCACTATGATTACGCTTTGATAGGTGTTTCTCGTAATTTAGAGATATGACCATTATCGGTCTTTTTATCGAATTAACGGCGGTTCCAGTGTTTTAAAAGAGTACAAACTCACTCCTGAACGAGACAATTCCACTTTACTTTTCACGTTGCATAATCATTACATTCCACATATCACAGAAGTACATTTAAATCACTATAACGCCGAAAAGAACACGCGTTATTGTATAAAGAATGCGTTTACATTTACCGTATAGGTGAGAAGTATTTGTCTTGCAATGACCTCATTTAGCCAGGAGAGCCTCACTGAGTCTCAATACTTTTTGTCAGGAGGGTCCGGCTAAGTGTTTTCACAGTAGTGGGCAGAGAGGGGGGCATCGTTGCTGTGTGTCATCCCAATTGAGTAATTCGCAGGTTACTTTTCAGAATTGGGATGTTTGGCCAAACAATACGAGATACATTTTCGCGTTTTATTTCAGCTATGGGAGGAAACCGGAGATCCCGGAGGAAACCCATGCAGAACGGGGGGGGGGGGGGGGGGGGGGGGTGGGAGAAACATACAAACTCCACCCGAGTTGCGAATCGACGTGCCAGACTAATCTCTGGGATTGGGTGCCCTGGTACCTGGTATATCCGTTTTCATAGATCCCTATCCCCCCCCACCAACCTATTACTTCCATGATGTCCAAAACGACCACATTCAGCCCATTTACAGCTCGTAATGTTATTTATCCGTTATATGTTAAACGTATATATAAAAAATATATAAAAACCCAATTCTGGAAGGCATAATCCAACCCCTGTAGTCGTTATTGCACAGTAATAGACATTGTCCTAAACTGAGATTGTCTGGCACGTGGCGTTGCTGCACTTGGGAGGCCCAGATAACACCAGGTCAGCATTGCTTTTGCACGCTGTTCAATGTTTTTGAGCTTCAGAAGTGCAATTTTCATTTTTCTTCAATTTTTCTACCCTTTAAGGGTCTTCTGTGCAGAACAAGGTATGTTCACTCATGTTACGTCAACGACACACTCTATTACAATCATTGTCTTACTCTATTCACCAAATGTAATGCGTAAATGTTCTGGGTTTACTCTCCAACACACCGGTGGGCTGTACTGGTGGCAGGTTTAACGACGCATTTGTATTTACGCGATCTAACTTAAAAAAAAACATCGATTGTGCACAGTCTTTGTCTTCACTTACATGGCAATGAACACCGAGTCGCCCTTCCAAGCTACCACCCAGAGACTGTTGTCTTTGTCAATTTCCGACCTGTGTGACCAGTTGAAAAGCTGTCAGACAAAGCGAACAAGAGTGGTTACCTGTATATACACTATAACATCTTTAAAAGATGCCCCCGTGTGTGCATCCCCCCTCTTAAAATGCTGGCTGTAAAGCAAGGCATAACAAAGTAAACAATTTCTTCTCTACCAATTACAGTTCAAAAAGAAAACAGGGCCACAGTAACCAAAACACTGCTGACGTTTTAGTCATATTGTTTGCAGCACGGGCATCATACTTTGTATGTTCCGATCATTACATCCCTTGTACACCTGCTCGTTTAGTTGTTGGTAATATGCACACGTCTTGTGATGGGGAAGTAACACTAGTTTGTTTAACATGTGCTTTCAAGCATATACAGCTGCATTGTGCACATATTTTGATGGCATAAGTGTATTCCATATGCTATCAGCGAGTAATATGTGGTACAAAAACTAAATGCTGTGGAGGATTACGGGTTTAGGCATATGTTGGTATAAAATACTGCTTTTGTGTTGAACAGGGCCCCGTGGTTGAGATGGAGTGCTCTTGCTAATAACATCCAAGAACCCAGCAGCATTTGTTTAGTAAGTCTAACTTTGCCCCGAGTTTGCTAGCTTAATCAAAGGCTGCTGGATAATGGTCTGGAAAGACAATAGGTGGAAGGACTTAACCCGATTTTTATTTACAGTAAATGTGGGGACACAGAAAGGAGTTCCGCTTTAATATATGACAAATATTTGGTCTCAAGTTGTGTTTGTGATAGTGCTTTACTTTGCAGACAGCCCTGTTGCAGAAAACACTTCTGTCTTGTTGCCTGCGTCATTGCAGGTTACCGTAATTTTTGAAACCCATCTCTAAAGCCGAGTCCAGTCCCCCCGAGTGGAATTGGCTATAAATCATCCCTGGTACACACGCGGTGAAGCAGGGACGGGGGCAATACATGTACCGCGATGTGAATTGCGTGAAAACCCACGAATTCAATCGACCTGCGCTGGACGCAGCGACTGTGTGCACCCTTCGGTAACAGCGCACGCAACAGCTGTCAACTAAAAACGGCAGCGTTGTTATTTGTAAGAGTTTAGAAAAAGGGCAGCTTTTGCTGTGTACACAAGAGCGACAATCGCGTGTTCTAAAGTAAGTGGTCACGTGCCCACGGGACCGCGCGCGCCCATCCAAGATGTTTGTGCCGATGTTATAAGACTTTTGTCAAAAAGGAACACGCAGGCTTGTGCCCCGTGCCATTAGTGGAATTACAATGGGACGCGTGGCAATATTCGCGTGTGCATTTCGCTTCGGTGAAACGTGGTGGGGGGAACATCTATGTGATAGCATTTGGACGACAAGAGGCAGTGTCATTTCCAGATAGGTTTTTCTTTGCTGCCATGTATTATGCATTATATTATTTCATTATTTATTTCATAACGTTTACGAGTATTGGGAGGGAGCGATGGCACTGTCGTCCTTGCAATGCACTGTAAGCGCTGTCAGCCACGTTCGAATCTTGCCCATGGCTCTTACATCATTGGCACTTGATATCTGAACCAGTCCGGGGCACCTCTCACATTCGCCGGTTAGTGTGGTGAAGTAGGGTCAAATAACTCTCACAACTCACACAGGCAGTAAAATAAACCCAATGTTGCTGGGATTTAGATGTTGCCCAATGCTGAAATGGGCCTTTGGGATGTATGTTTGCAAATTAAAATAACAATAAATACCTTAAAAGCCCTATCAATTAAGGCAATAGGCTGCCAATAGGTCAATCATTTGACCACATTATATTCAAAGGAACGCATATGCATACAAATGCATATATTCATGTATACATGTATATTTATGTATACATTCCAGTAAAATGGTTTAAAATCGACAGCCTACTGATTAAATTGGTAGGGTTGGCATGTGCGTGAATATTGAAATCCTCATTGGTGTGCCAGCCCAGTGACAGCAAATACTTTGCACTGGTAACAATGTCAGCAGTGTCTATTCCGGAGGGGGATAACATATACGGCAATAGTTGCATTACAGTTTGAATTTAAAGTATTCATAACAGTGATCTGGCCAGCTTGATTTAATGCATCATACATATAAAACGACTGCACTCGTACAGCTATTTATTTAAATTAAACAAAATAACATGTTTACAAAAAAATGACAGGGGACAATGTCACAGTGCTTGCTTGGTCAGCTAGCCTGGCCGGTAGGGGCATGGGCGGCTGGGGCATGACCAGCCGGAGCATGGCCAGGGTAAACGTGGTCGGCGGGTGTTAGGCCACGGTGAGTTTGGATGGAATGGTCATGACTGACAGGAACGTGGCCAGTGTGGGCATGGCTCATGGGTGCAGGAGTTGGGTTGGCGTGGCCGGTGTGAGTCTGGCCTTGATGACCACTGCGGGCAAGATTAGAGTGGGCGTGGGTCACGGAAGCAGGGGTTGGGTTGGCGTGGCCGGTGCGAGTCCGGACTTGATGGCCGCTATGGCCATGGCCAGAGTGTGAGGCAGGAGCTGGATTGGCATGACCAGCAGGATTCTGGCCTTGATGGCCACTGTAGGAAAGATTAGAGTGGGCATGGCTCATGGACGCAGGGGTTGGGTTGGCATGGCCTGCGTGGGTCTGGCCTTGCTGGGGCTTCGCGGCCTGTGCCACTTGCTCGGGAACAAGAGTCGGGTCCGACAAGATGGAGGTGCTCGTGCTGAGATGGCGCAGAGCAGTGAGCACGACTGAAAAAAAAAGGCAAAGCCAACACAGTGGCGTAATTAGGAAATCACATTTGTGTATAATGAGTATATCTGTTTTGCAACTTCTCTAATATGTTTCGTATTTGAGCTGAAGATTTCCTTTTGGTCATGTGGACTTAATTTTATAGCGGACCTTCATACGTACATGCACAAGTCAATATTCTTTGATCAGATAAAAACGGAAGGTAAATAATAATCAGGCTAAGCGTGCACTAATAAACAGGCAGATTCGAGCTCAAGAATAATACTCTTTGTAAAGTAATGTAATTCAAGGTTGCTGGTAAAAAAAATATGGTCGAGGTGGCAAAGGTGGCTATCGTTACTATGCCACGAACTAGGCGATCTGAATTCCTTTCCTGGCTGTGACTATCAGTGGCGAATGATATCTGAACCGGTCCCAGTCTCTAACGCGTCTTCACACCCACACTTAGCTTCTGGAGCATGACCTTGTTTAAATGAGGTCATACAGAGGGGGAAATTACAGTGTGAAACCTCAAACAATTGCGAAATGCTAATGGTATGATTTGCATTTGGCTATCAAACTATCTGCTCAGACTTCTCACCATTTTTCCGAATTGGCGGACGTTGAAGAGAAACTTCCACTTGTATAATTATATATATACTGTATACAGTACCAGCAATTTTTTTACTTGACTATAATCATTCAGAAGGGGGGGCTCCAACCATTACGCTCGCCTCACAGCATTAAGGGGCTGACCAACGCTAATCCCTGTGGTGAAATATGGTCAAACAAACCTCATGATTTACATTGATTGAAGAGGCAGTGAATGGACAAAGGGCTAAACCTCATGATTTACATTGATTGAAGAGGCAGTGAATGGACAAAGGGCTACACATAATTATTATAATTAATCAAATAAACTGTGATTCACCATGCTCTAAATTATACCACATTGAGCTTTGATTTAAATCAGGATAGAAATTATGCTATTGCTGTAATTGAAAAAGTGAAATACATTTGTCAATAATGCTGTCGTAAAAGGAAACGTGGATAATCGGTGATATGTTTAACAATAGTCCTTAGTAGCACATCGAATATCACATAAACATTAATTTAAAGCGTTTTTGTATTTTTTTACTTTTAAAGTACAACAGGTTTCAATTGGCCTAATTTTAAGCTGACTTAAAATTAATTTCTGCCCCAAAACAACTGCACAAATAGTCAATTATAAACACAAATATGTTGAATTCACATGAGGCCGATGGCGTAAAACCGAACATGCAAAACAACTTACTGCCCGACGGCTAAAAAAGCCACTCGTGGCTTTTTCAGCCGTGGGATTCATTTCAGTTATGTTTTATTTTTCAAAAGACATTATTAAGCCATACAAACTAATCAAGTTCCATCGGCTGCAGAGTAGCAAGTTACTCAAATTCAATGCATCACAGCACACCCTGCAGCAATTAAGTTGTCAGGTGAAGTTTCTGCATTGTATGAACATCTCAAGGCCGCATAGGCTGAATTCCAAGGGGGTGAACATTTACGGATTTTTTTTTAAAGGTTAATCACAGTTTGGCCCTGTAAAAGTGAACATTTGTGAAGTTGCTAAGGCAGTAATTTGATCTTTTGTGTTTACTTATTTCATACCAGGGTTTCCAAAACTCCAGGGTGTACCTACCGTGGTTGCCTTCCCACGTTTACCAGTCTTGTCCATTCAAATATAAACTAAGTCGTTACACACTGCACGTGCCTGATGATTGGTAAACACGTCCACAAAATTTAGTGATCTTGCATGTTGTATGTCGAACATTATTTATTAATCATCAGCCACACGTGGTGTATAATAACTTAATCTATATTTTAAAAAGAAGAAAGGTAAACACGGAAAGGTGAAAGACATCTATCAAATATTATATTGTTAAACAAAATATATGCAAAAAAACATTGAAAAGTTATAGGTAAAACAATATAAAAATAGGAGTCCCAAGTATTTGAGTTTGTTTAGTAGGTCGGTAACAATTTGCATCCCTTGGAAATCTATGACTTGTCACAATTCAGGATTGTGATTCAGTTCAAGAATTGATTTTCCCCCAGATAACATGCAAAGCTATAACATACAAATAATGATGATGTAACATAATATAACATTCAAATAACATACATCCCCTTGTCGATCCACTGCTGTATGAAGGCCTCCCCGTGCCTTCATACAGACTGGAAAAGCCGAGGCAGACGTTGTTGCCTCCTCAATCTGGAGCAAACGAACCACCACGAACCGCTACTGATGGCTCCTTGCCAACACTGTGCAAGGGGCACCCGGAGGCACCCCCAGTAAGACATTAGTGGGGCCCTGAGTGAGCTCCGAGTGGGCCGCTGAGTGGGCTTACTGGGCCGGAGGCTGGGCAGAGCACAGTGCTGGTCAAGCCAGCACATGACGGTCCGGCACAACTCCTCCATGCTGGCCGTAGACACCATCCCATTGTAGGACTCGAAGAGAGGACGCATGAGAATGCTGAACTGCTCGCACGCAACACAACTGTCAAGGAAGCGCACACAATCTTCCAAAAATCCTCCCCGTGCTACTGCCATCTCTCACGATCCGATGGTGTACCGCGATCTTCGAATTATAAGACGCGTGCTTTCTCTCAGTACTTTAAAGCAAAAGTTAAAATGTGCATCTTACGATATGCGTGATCAGATTCGTATAACTTTATCGAGACCAGGCACCAGTTTGGAGTGCATAGCTTTTTTAACGGAGCATATTTATAATCTGGAGATTACGATGCGGATCCAGATACACGCTTTTGAGGGAGGTCCTATTTGTAAAACTCTGAAAGGACGGCATTGTTTTGATGGGTTTCCAAGGATACGATCCAGAACTTCCAGTTGCACTGCGTGCGCGCGCGGACGTAGCCGTCGAACATCTGGCGCATCTGGTTGAAGCGCTGCTTCGTGATGGGCACCCCAGTGGCCGGCAGTTGCTGCTGGCAAACGCTGCGCGGGGCACGCAGGATCGCACCACGGCACACGACCACAACAACAACAAAAACAGAAGCACAGAGCACGAATTACATGGAAAGCGCCGATTTACAAACAACAAAAAAGCTACTTTCATTAACGACATAAGCAAGCGTTTACCCTTTCTCAAGACGGACGGACATTTTATTTGCATTCTAAATAGTCATAATTGGTTGATATGTATTTATGTATCTTGAACTTATTTCGCAATGTACGTAGCCAACCGTGCTAATCGGAGTTGAGGAGATTGACATTCTAAGCCAATTCGAAGTAAACCACGTTGTGAGTATGACAATGATGAATCATATATTTTCAAGTAACCGAAATGTGCAATCAAAATTGTGGAACTGCCCTAAATCGAACTTAGTTCAGTATTTATCGAAGACGTGGTATATCTGAGAAGTAGCCAACAATTTGGAGAGAGTCATTGAAGAGCAAATGTGTACAATGTGGATTCCAAATCTATAGTCCTGTTGCCCAATCACGCTAACGTTTCTCAATTTAACAAAATACCTCCCTTAAAATGTAGATGAAGTCGTTACATGAAGCAGCAGCGCATGCCTGACAATTGTTAATCTCTTCGAAAGTGTCACAGAGGGAGTGCTGAATTAAATTGCGAAACAGATCTGGTGTGTGTGAATGAGGGTACTTGCCTCCCACGTGCTCGCAGATTCGTATTAATTGGAGCTCGATCCGTCAGGTGGAACTGTGCTTAGTAATCATCAGGCACGTGTAGCATGTAATAACACTTTGTATTGATTGGAGGTACAATACAAAGTGTCAATTTTGAAAAAAACAAGGAATGCCATTTGGGAAACCATGGTCTAACAAAATGTTGATTCTCATCTGGTTGCTTTCCTTCTTTCTTCTTTCATAGACGACGCGGTCAAATTGCACCTGTTCCTGTCTAGCACCAGCTTCGAGACTAACACATTAGGAATTATATTACAAGAGCCACTTCTAGCCTGATGCATTGACGCTATCATTGGCAGGCAAACATGCTAAGTTTCAATGAAGCCCAGCATGACATTGGTGCAACACGGTAAACCTTATCCTCATACAGTTCCCCCACTCCAGATACATATCCACAGGTACTGTTGAAACATAAGTCTGAGATAGCACAGAGTGGAGAGAATTGACATGCGCGTGATTAAATATATGGTGAAGATGGCCTTATACATAGAAATACAATTATTACAGCCCTTTATTTATCCACCACTGGATGGATAAAGGCCTCCCCACACACCGTTTAAGTCATTGAGATTGTTTGACCATATTCAACACTGTCCTGGTCAGGGCAGATTGGTGAAGACACCCATAACTAGGTTAGCCACGGCAAGGAATCAAACTCATGTTGCTGAGCTTATCGCACAATGCACTAACCACTCTGCCACTGCTGCTGCTGCCTAATGTATGCTGTATGTACTGGACATATATTTGTAAAATAATGATTAAAGCAGTCACTTGATTTCAGCGTTGAGTTCTTCAATCTCATCGCGGAGCTTCTGTGCCTCGTCCAACATCTGCTGCCGTTCCTGCTGCAGCTTGGTGATGTACTCCACTGTCTTCTGCAGCGTTGCGGCCTTGCTGACCTGAGCCACACGCACAATGTCATTGCCACCAGAAGGATAACGATAACACTTTGTATATAAAAGGTGCTTAAATGCCTCGGAAACTCAAAGCTCTCTACATCACATCTCATGTCAACCGTTCCAATGTCCTGCTGCAGTTTAGCCAAGATGACCCCCCCCCATCCCCAGTGGCAGCTGTCCCTGTGCAGCACAAAGTGGATGATGAACTGGCCTGAAAAATGGGCATTCATCTGCCAGTAGCGGGAAATGTTGCTATGTGTTTTTTCCAATTCAATGATTTGCAAGTAATTTACCAAATTTGGCCAAATTGGACTATGACGCTGACAAACGTGGCCTCCGCTTTTTTGGTGTTCAACAACATCATGGGTTCCTTCACGGCCCACTGACTGTGAAGCAGACTGCACATATTTATAATGAATTCAGCCACAGCACAAACCAGGGTGGTCGGGTGACTTGGCAAATGGCAGGTTTATATAATTGCTTAATTGGTCGTGAGATTCACGTGCAGCAGCACTTTCATTTTACTTTAAACTCTATGGGGCCCCAGGCAGTATCAAATGTATGCAGAAGTCACAGAAGGAGGCTCTGGTCATCTACATGAGCTGACATCCCAGTCATTTAGTAAGCAGTGCTTGCTCTCACTTAATTGTTCTGAAAATACCTTAACTAATCCACGTGTGTCTTTGTGGTCAGCCTGGAATACTGGCAATATCCAATTTTGCAAGGCTAATCCTCATTTGAAAACCGTTCTCTGTCCAAGTCGTATCACATTGTTGCAGGATATTTTTTGTCCGTAAATAGTAATTGCGATGTGATTGTAACCAGCGTATGTCACTGTGTGTGTGTGTGGTTGCTGGCCACCCAACCCCTCGTGTGCCGTGCGGGCCTTCATAGGTGCTCGCTAACAGCACTTGCCCCTACAGTCTGTTACAGGCTAGACAGGGGACGCGGGTCTTTGTGTGTGTGTGTGTGATGGCTATATGGTTGCGACACATTTACAAAGGTTTTAAACTCTTCAGGGAATAGACGTTTTTTCTCACCTTGCTGTTTGGCTGCAGATTGAGAGGCGACACCAGGTTATACAATGTATCGAAGCCAATCTTAATGTTAAAACGTCGCTTCTGCTCAGCGGAGATGTGCGTTACACGCCGGCTGTCCTGGAAACACACGGGCCATGCGAATGTTTACGTATTGTGCATTCGGTCATTGTCATGTGGTGGGCTTCATGGCCGACGTGGAAAGGATGCTGCTTATATTACACCACCTTTATAAAAAAAGGGAGCAATATTCATCATTTTTTTTCAACGAGCAAAAGCACACTCTATTAAAGTCTTAAAATTGAAGGGGAAAGGAGGAATTGTCGCAATAATTTCCGACACAAATGTTTCGTTCGGAGTCGATTGCAACGTTTCCAATGAAACGGATGTGGCCGTACTTGGTAACAAGGGCGCACACTAACTTGTCCAATAAGCTGCGGCATCGGCCAATCAATTCCTCGCATGCATTAAAAAAAAAATCGTTGAACGCCAATGAAATAACGAGAAACAAAAAAATATATAGGATTAAAAAACAAAACTCAATTTTGTCTGGAAATTTAAATCCCCCCCCCCCACCCACCCCCCTTACCACCAAAACAAAATCGCGTCAATTTTTTCCAAAGAGAGGCTATCACAAAACGAACGTGAGGCGCACCCACTGGTCTCTGTTCTAAGGCTCAAAGCGTGCACGCTACGACCTCTGGTGGCGTGGTGGCCATCTGCGGAACGAGCAAAGTGAGAAGCTTGCGTCAACGCAGCCCACGAACCAAGAGGGGTGTTTGTTGCTCGGTACCCAAGTTTGGGTGGCACAATGCTACTCGTATCACCCGTGACCAGCATCCACCGCGGGCGGTAATCTTTGCGTACCCAACCCCCCCCCCGTTTTGTAGATGCACTATTCATTTGCGCGCTCCGTAGATGCATCTCATCACTTTCGTTTTCACTCAAAGACGACAATTCTCGCGTCTAAACATCCAATAATGTTGTCTTCAAAAACAGCTACCACAGTGATCTTGCTACCATATATATTTGTGATCTAGAGCTGCAATTAATTAACAAAATCATTGGTAGCATTTACCATCCTGGGTGGTGCTTGCAAGCCTTAATGGGCCGATGTTTCAATGATCCGTAGGGGTTAGTGCCACCTCAATTGTGTGATCGTCAAGGCTGTATTCAAGCCATATGTTCAGCACTTCCACCTTTTAAAAAAATTACTGCTTGTAATGGTTGAAACACAATACTGTGGCATTATTGTAGTTACTTTCAGTAATTTGGCAACTAAAACCATAGCAACACGATGCGTAGTACTACAAGTTACGTGTCTAAATAAAAAACACTCTTGTTCGATTGAAATTCGCTTTTACGATACATATATATGACATTTTAAAAACACTACAACTGAAATAACCAAGTTGAATAGCGATGGAGTGTTTGGCATTGGGCATGCGCGGTGATGATGGTGGTGGTGGCGGTGGTGGTAAAACAGTAAAGCGGAGGATTTTTAAGGGACAAAGAGGGGGTCCACAAACTTGAGGGCCTCCCTCAAACCTGAACGCGGCTCTGGTGTGTGGCTTGCCTTGAAGACGACAATGCCAGAGGAGTCGAGCGGCGACTGTGGGCGGGACCTGCTCTCCGGCGTCCCGGGCGATGCCCGTCCCGAGCTGTGGTGATGTTTGCCTACAGATGCAGACGCAATGCGAGCCATGCAAGGTTGCCAGCCGGGACGTTTATCACGTCCACTCGATGCCCTCATTCAACGATGGTGAGAGGTGGTCGTTTGGCTCGGTGTATGTACACATGTGATCCCAAAGAAACCCAAGGGGCTGCAGTCTGATATAACGTATAGCTTTTGTGGCGTTTGCTTTCTGGCACAAAGGTGTACAAAATAAACTATCCGTGATAATAAATTCTACCAAAACAATACATTGGACTTACTTTCTGTATCTCGGAGTAATAAGTATAAAAAAAAATCAGTGTATCGGGATATTGCTCTTCGAGAAAATTGTATTGCATGAATGTTGAACTTCTTTCTCACCGTACGTATCCGACCATGCCAATCAGAGGTGCGGGGGACGGACAACAAACGGTGGGGGGGGGGGGGGTGGAGTGGGGAGGGGAGGGCGATTCGGCTAAACCGCAAAGCAATTAAGAAGAAAATATGGAATAAAACGTAAAAAAAAACCACCCACTTGTTGGTGAGATGGAGGATGAGTGGGAGTTAGCGGTGCTTCGTTCTGCCTTCGGGATGAGCTGGGCGGGAGAAGTGAGTGGTTGCAACAGCGTGGGCTGGGAGCCATGTCCTCCCACCGTCACAGAATTCTGTAGCGGCTCCAGCAGTGATCCAGAGCCCTGAAAATGATGCAGGACCACCCTCATTAGATCTGAGATTCAGACCCGGCCTGTCGCACCCGGTGAAATTGCATTCACGGGGACAGCTGTAGGGGCCAGACTAAATATGAATGGGATTGCAACTTCTTTGTGGAACAGTAAACAATGCACTTAACACGTGGTTTGTGGGGGTGATCAGGGAAATCTGTGCACCTGCCGGGGTCCAGCGACACATCAGGTCCCGACACGCGACAGGCCAACTCCTATCACATACAGACGATCGCAAATGGGTAAGTGATGTGAATTCTAATGACGTCCTCGAAGGGCTTATGAGGCTGAACTTTGGAGTGATAACAGGGTGGGGAAAAGGTCACCCGCGCTGCAAAGCTCTGGTAATTTTACAAGAGAAAACTTCGTACAAAGTTAACAAAGCCTCATCCTGTGTAACTGCGTCATTGCCTGTAAAAACAAAAATAACAAATTTGGGTCGTAAAAAAAATTAGGGCAGGATCAGTATAGAGTAAAAAATGAGGGCAGAGGCAGTATAAAGTTCAAAATTGCTTTAAGCCTTATCCTAAACACTCAAATATATTTATATTGTTTTCACCATTGTCAACGAACCAGTAATTTTCCTTCGGAGGAATGAAGCTATTGCCAGGTGCAAGTAAGTACATTAATAAATGCACACTTCTTATAACATAGGTTATCTTGCAATATTTCATACCGAATCCCACTTTTCTTGACAGCCAATAGGGTACCTCAAATTTGTATTTGTTTACTGACCCAAGCGTGTTCTTCCTTCTGAATCGCAGTGTAATTCCCAGCATGAATTTGTACATAATTATGTGGGTACTCTTCAGTCCGTGATGTCGATCCATATATCATGACAGTAAATAAGAACTAAAATCTATCTTCTATAGCCACATTGGTTTTTTGCTTTTCCGTATTAAAGTTTATTTTCGAAAATAACTCCATCCTGCTCTCACTTGCTTCTCTGTTCATCCTCTTGCTCCTGGTCTGTATGTGTGTATGTATGTTGAAATTCTTTCACACCGTACGTAGCCAACCGTACGTAGCCAACCGTGCTAAATCGGAGGTGCTAATAATCTAATATCTGCCATCATTGACTGTTGTATATACGCATGCACTTATTGTACATGACCTTTGTTTTGCTCGAATTTTGTTGACTTCTTTTCAGATTTCTTTAGTCATTTCCTATGTATCATGACCTTTGGTTGTTATAATGGCTATGTCATCACGACATGTAAGTTGGTTAATACTTTTACTGAAGATTGCATTTGAGAAACAAAGGCATAAAGATCAATTGTGAAAGTATTCACCAATTTTGGTTCCAAGTATGTATATACAATTAATTGTTCCATATCGTTCATATCTACTGACACCTGCAATTTGCAACTCATGCTCTGAGCTAGCATTTACTTAAAAATGAAAACTTCGGCCTGTAGCTTTAAGGTAACTTATTTAGCAGTGCATGATTAAAGAGTTCCAGAAAGAGCATTGGCCACTTATGATAGAGGAAAATTGAGGACGGGAAGGCCTTTAAAATTAGTAATCAAATGTGTGAGTGGCAGAGGCATTGGAAAGAAGAGGATCATTGGGCATCTAGTCAGCAGCACATATATGACAGATGGAATAGGAGAGCCAGTCTCAACAAGCCATGGACCCAATGGCCCCGATAGGATGGAAAGGGACAATGATTTAGCCGGTGAGTCGAAATCAGTTACCCATTTTTTTCTCTCTCTCACAAAGTCCACTAAATAACTCTTCACGTGTTTTCTTTATTCTAAAACCTCTTCTTAACCTTCAGCAAATTGTAACACATAAAATAAATGCATGTGTACTTAAGAAATGCATCCCACCGTCTTTGACACGTGAGAAATATCCCCCAAGACAAATGTCTGACCGAGGCAGCAGGAATTGACAGTAGAGTGGGAAGCATGTCCTCTTGTTTGACGGAGGATGATGGAGCACTCCCAATGGAAGACTGGCTTGGCGGCAAACCTGCGTGTGTTGTGGTGATAACAGAGCAAATTAAGGCAAGTTCATCTTCAAGAAGGAACAAGTACACAGAGCCGAGCCCGTACGTACATCGGTCCTGTAAATGTTATGTTTCTCAGAAAGGATTATCCGAGTGACGTCAATGCAAGGAAGTTTGCAAGCGATTAGAAACGCAAAAAAATATGCAGCTAGTATGCCCTGGGAAAAAAACAATAAGAATGTAATGATTAGGATTAGAGGTATCTTATCAGGATTCATCCGTAAGTTACAATGCCTGATAAAGGTCCGTTGTTTACAAATCTGGTTCTTTTTTTATCAGCAGAATGCCTTCATTTTTATTTTCTATATTTGCATTGATGAACGATAACGTTCATTGGAGTACATATTTGAATATGGTCACATAGATTAAATTCAACTAAAATTCAGCCATCTGTCAATCCACTGCTGGATGAAGGCCTCCCCACGCCATTTGGTCATGGGAGTTATTCCATTGCACTTCACAACACCGATCCATGCTGGATCACAAGGGGGAGAGCCCACTGCCAGTCGAGCTCTGCCTGGGAATCAAATTTCAGGTCGCTGGGTGCAGAGCACATTGTGCGAACCACTGCCCCGCCACTTCGCCTGCCCCAGAAATGTGACTGGGTGTGATTATTTGGTTCAGTCCACACATCACAACAACACGTACCTCCGTTTAAAACGGTACCTGAAGACAGGAGTTTGGCGAGGAACGAGCTGCTGGTGCCGGTGCTGTTCGTCTCCAATTGCAGCGGCTGAGCCTGCTGCGGCTGCGTAGGCAAGGGCCCCATGGCGATCTTCGGCTTTTGCTTGAGGGCCAGCTTAGGCATGGGCATCAAGAACTCTTCAAAGGACGACTGCCCATGGGCGGAGCGGCATTGCTGCGGGGGACCGCTGAGCGTTACGACCGGCGCGACGAGCCGCTGCGCACCGCCAACCGCCACCGCGATTGCCGCTGCCGTCGCCGCTGAGAACTCGCGACGGGGCAGCTCGTGCCCGTCGGGGCTGCCGGGGACGGAGCATTTGCGGGCCTCTGGCTGCTGCCGAGCAAAAGCCGTCGCGCTGGGGGCGTAAGCGAAGGCGTGCGGCTGCGGCTGCGGCTGCGGCTGCGGCGGCGGCTCCCGCGGCCGCATGTCCGCCGGGCTCGGGGCCGGCTGGGCGGCGAGCGACGACTGGAAGGGATTGCCGCCCCCCGCGCCGCTGTTCTGGCTGCAGGAGGACGACGGCCCCGTCAAAACGTAGTCGTAGGGCACGTCGCGGGTGGGGCTGCTCGGCAGAGACCGCTTGCTCGCCGCGTGCTGCCCAACCTCGATGGACGCTCCTTTCTGGCCGCAATCGCGGAACAGCTCGGGTAGCGAGCTGCTGGGCAGGGACCGCTTTCTGTTCTCCTGAGGGCCTGGGGCTTGCAGCGGCAGACTCGCGGGTGGAACTTGAGTCGGTAGTGGTAGGTTGGCCTGTGGGGTCCGCAGACTTCCAACAGCATCGATCTCGGGAAGCATTGGAAATGAGCGCTTGCGCGTCTCTTGGGACACTGTCAGCTTCTGCTGATGCTGCTGCTGATGATGATGCTGCTGGTGCTGCTGCTGCTGCTGGTGCTGCTGGTGCTGCTGCTGATGGTGCTGCTGTTGTGGATACTGATGTTGACTAAAGCATCCAGGCTTCTCCAAGCCAGAAGGAGTGACATGGCCGACAGAGGCGATGCAAGCCACGTTCTCTTGACACTGATCTCTGTTTGCAAAGTAGATGGGGAATGGTGAGAGAGATGCCTTTTGAGTGTTACTGGGCAGTGACTGAAGGTGATGCAGGTTGTTGCCGGGCACGTTGAACGCAGCAGACTGAGGAAATTGGGGTGGATATGCCGACTCCATTGCCGCCTTGGTTACATCGTCTGCAGAGGGAGGTATTGGCTGGTAGCAGAGCTTCTGTGTTGCCTGGTGTTTGTTGGCAGAGTCTTGGCACAGCCCGAATTGCTGATGGATTGCGGATAATGAGAAACCGTGGTTGTCCTGGTAGGTGTCATTTATAGGAGCCTTTGGCAGAATGCCGCAACGGATATTGGAGTTTAAATTCACCATCTCTCCCAATCCACTGTTGCTCTGATCAAATCCACACTAGGCGACAGATTAGAAACAATACAGTCATTGCATAATGAACGCATGAAAGAGAAAGAATCAGTAAATAAAAACCCACCAAATTATTTAATGTCACCATTCAGTTATTTTGTTAGTAATCGTGTAAATGTACGGCACCCAATCTCATGTAACATGGTGACATCAAGACCTGCTGTTTCAGGCATGCCATTGCATGCCTCATCAAAATGCGGGAAAATGTACTTCCTCTTTGCATTGGACAATACAGATATATAAAATAACAGGTTCATTAAAAATATATCTTTTTTTAATATATTTTATGTGTAAAGGAATATCTAAAAATTTCTGGCCGTCTCAGAAATGTTCAGAAAGAACAAATACTGTAATAATTTCCTGATAAAGCAGGGTTGGCCACACTTTTGAGATCGTCAATATCTGACTTTCTTTTCGGTAGTAGTAAAAAACCTGTCATATTGAATTAACCAATTAATTTTTTTAATAAATACAGTATCAATACCAAGCCACTCTTCGCAAGATTGTGTCTCTTTGAGCCAATGACACAGCAGCACTGTATAACATGGAATGTGTAAATAAGACGAAAAAAACTATTATAGTAGAAATAAGATGTGAAAAAAATATATATGAAAAAAAGAATTGACTCTTGAATCAATTCATGAGCAGAAATCAAGTTGTTAGAGTGAGGTAAATTGACACATGCTTCGCAAACGGCATTTTAATAAATATACAGCTGTCCAAATTTGTGTGCAGTTAAATGAAAGCACCCAGCACACGGATTGCCACGTTTGAAATAATGTTATAATCTACAGACATGACCCATAACATAGAGCGGCGCGACGTTTTTAGTCAATGGTCATGCCGCAGTTACAAAACAAATTGACAATGTTTTTCGGAACAAAGCAAATGCCACGATGACACCAACGTCAGCAATTGGGAACAGTAAGAGTGTCGTCCTACTTGGTATGGGTGCTGCGTCTCTTGGCAAGCAGGTGGTCCAAGGAATTGTGTCACAGCCTGGGAAGCTTCAGGGAAGCCTCCATCAGGGTCGAAAGATTGAAACGTGGTCAGTTTCTGCAGAAAAAAATTCACAGAGTGCACAAAAGCACAGACGACGGCATGACGTTTCCCTACACGAACAATGCTATTAAATCGATATTAATGTCCTGTAAAGGAACAGTGATTTGAATATCGTATCAGTTGTCAGTTTGTCTCCCAGGGAGATAATTATATATTCAGTTGGTGATCTATATATATATCTCTATCTATCTTCTTCATTCACACATTGTCAGGAGGCTACTGTCTATTAGTGCAGTAATTTATAATTGCCCCTGCGTGTAATTTTTTCTTAGAAAAAATATATTTTGGGTTTTTACAAAAATTCCCATTTAACGACAATGACAAAGAAGACAAAATTCTGCTGGTTACATAATGAGCCACGACATCGCAACCTCCCCGTCACCATCCTCGCGCGGAACAGCCAAAAATCCCCACATCCTTTCAAGAGAAGTAGGCAAAGCAGCGATTCACATAAACGGTGATTTGATCAATCGGTACATTTCAGGGACTCGATTCAATTTGAGAACTTATTATTTGTGTTTTGATTTTCGCCATCTTGTTTCGAGTTCTAGTTTGTGCCGTTCACCATGGAAGTCGAGTTTACCATGGAAGTCCAGTTTACCATGGAAGTCCAGTTCACCATGGAAGTCCAATTCACCATGGAAGTCCAGTTTACCATGGAAGTCCAGTTTACCATGGAAGTCCAATTCACCATGGAAGTCCAGTTTACCATGGAAGTCCAGTTTACCATGGAAGTCCAGTTTACCATGGGAGTTCTTGTTTGTGCTGTTCACCATGGAAGTCCAGTTCACCATGGAAGTCCAGTTTACCATGGAAGTCCAATTCACGATGGAAGTCCAATTCACCATGGAAGTCCAGTTTACCATGGAAGTTCTAGTTTTTGCTGTTGACCATGGAAGTCCAGTTCACCATGGAAGTCCAGTTTACCATGGAAGTCCAATTCACCATGGAAGTCCAGTTTACCATGGAAGTTCAAGTTTGTGCTGTTCACCATGGAAGTCCAATTCACCATGGAAGTCCAGTTTACCATGGAAGTCCAGTTTACCATGGAAGTCCAGTTCACCATGGAAGTCTAGTTTACCATGGAAGTCCAGTTCACCATGGAAGTCCAGTTCACCATGGAAGTCCAGTTTACCATGGAAGTCCAGTTTACCATGGAAGTCCAGTTCACCATGGAAGTTCAGTTTACCATGGAAGTCCAGTTTACCATGGAAGTCCAGTTCACCATGGAAGTCCAGTTTACCATGGAAGTCCAGTTTACCATGGAAGTCTAGTTTACCATAGAAGTCCAGTTCACCATGGAAGTCCAGTTTACTATGAGCAGGAGTTGGCAACCTGCAGCTCTGCAGCAGCGTGCGGCTCTTTACGGACTCCTTTGTGACTTTTCTTTTTTATTACGGACCACCGCCTCGTATTCTCATCCATTGGAGCTCTTGAAATATCGAGCGTTTTACCGAATTCGACAAAAATGGCTCTTGTTGTTGTTTTGGTTTGCGGTCTCTGGCCTAGACTAACCGGACATGTCTGTACTGGGTGGCGATGCAGCAAGGCCACGTTGCTTCGTCCAGGAGTGTGATTTTCATTTTATTTCTTAAAAATGCTATGCCCCGTCCCCCCACCCCCCCAAACAAAAGGCCACCATGGTATAAAAACATGAATAAGCAATTAAATACATGAACATTATCATAAAACATGTTTTTGATTATAAAAAATCATAAACTATTTTTTTAAGTAGAGTATTAAATACGAGTTTATAAAAAAAAGTTATCTCATCACATTATCTCATCACTTTCTCGCATCACATTCTCTCTCACAACTTTATCAAATCACCTTTTTTCTTTCTTTCTTTCTTTCTCTCTCTCTCTCGATGCAGTCGTGTAGAGTTCCAGATGTGATTCGCGAATAGCCAAAATCGCCGTTAGGTTCGGAATAACGAGGGAATACTATAATATAATCTACCAACGTATGTGTTGGGTTTTTTTGTCAAGGAAAGACTGAAACACTGCATGGTGGTGAGATGTTAACTACCTCGCCTGGTATACAGGATGTCGTGGGTTCGATCCCGACCCTGACGCCTGCTGCTGTATATTTGGAGTTTGCGTCTCTCTCACCGTGGTTCCGGGGAGTTTTCTCCAGGTCCTCCTCTTTTTCCCTCCACATTTACAAACAATGCGTTTGGAGTGTTTGGCTGCTATCAATTTCCACGTGACAAGCCACTTTGTTGAGCTATTATTTGTGGCCAGGTAGCTTCTTAAAAAGAGCTATATAGCTCAATGGGTTTTACCCGGTCAAAAAAAACAAAAAGTTTAGTTTTATAGTTTAGCTTAGTTCCACTGGGGGGGGGGGGGGGGGGGGGGGGGGGGGGGGGGGGCTCTCTTACCTGGGAGTGACAAGAAGCTTGGGGTCCCGAAGCGTAGAAGTCTGTGCTGTTCGTGTGGGACGAGGAGAACGGCCCTAGCTGAGGCTCTGCAGTCTGCACGGTAAACGCCGTCTCTGTAGGCTGCTGCTGCTGCTGCTGCTCCTGCTGCTGCTGCAGGAAGGCTGGGCGTCCCATCGGCAGCAGGTCTGTTATCGCGTATGGCAAAGTAGATTTCAATTAGCCTGCTACTGATTACGAATCAAACAGCTCATATATGCAACGTAGAAAATCAAGCTATATTTTTTTTAAATCCCTTCGTATTATAAAAATGCAATTGATATATTTTACATTGTTGTGCATTGTTTCAGCCAGTTTGTTTGATGTCTGTATTTGTAATGTTTAGGAACCTGTTTTTGGCCAGTTTGATTTTTTTCATTAGTTTGATGTATTTTTTTTTTACCCAGATATCCGTTGAAAAAGGGGTTTCTGGTCTCAACGGGATTTTCAGTGACATCTGAAACGGCTGAAAAATACGTCTGCATAATAGCCTGAAAAACGCATTACCCTGTACCATTGATTTAATGCAGACGGTGAGCCCTTGTGGTTTAAAAAAGTAAAAAGATTGAATGCTGGTATTAAATAGTTACATTAAAAGATCATATCAGACTATAGTATAACAGGCTTTGTGTAAAATGGAGGGCTATCCTACCAGTGCAGGGCAGAGGGAGTAGCGGGAGATACAAAAATTTGAAAAAGAGCTTTACAGCTTATCGGATTCCTCCAGCACAAATGAACATTCTGATTCTGATATGAGGACAGTGGATCTGACTTGAGAAGAGGCACAGAAAACAATCACGTGGTGAAGCAATTTCGGAGTAGCCTTCTCCAGTATCGGGACTTAGAAACAGCATATAAAGAATACGTGTACATGAAAAGAACTTATTTTTGTGTTTAGTTTGTTGTCTTTCTCCCGCACCTCCGATCAGCACGGTTGTCTACGTATGGTGCGAAAGAGGTTCATTTTGATCAGTGATTTTTTTCACTGATTAAATTAAATCACTTATTAAATTAAATCACTGATTTTAAAGTGATTTAATTTATTTTATACGTGACTTTACCGAAAGAACCAAAGAGTATGGATCCCTGCAGTCACGAAAACTTCAAATCTAGGAAAAAGGTTCAATATACAAACATGCATAAAGGAAGGGATCATTGATGTCCAATAAGCAACGGCATTAAAGTGTAATTATTAACATTGGGCTCCCTTCACTAGTATTACCAAAATATGGAAACGTTTGTTATTTATGGTGAGGAAATCCCACAATTGCATGCATTTATATAATACTGTAAGTACATATACGGTATGAAAAATGTTGGTTTTTAAATTACGGACCTTGGGACTCTCAGAGTTCTGCTTTACATGTGCACACAACTTCATAAATCACATGAAAATGGGCAAATGCACAATGTACGCATCTTATGACTGGAATACACATTGACAAAACACGTGAATCAATAATGCTGCCTGAAAATATGTTTTACATATAATCGGTGACGTTTCAGGCAATGGCCCTTCATAGCTCAATAGTTATATACATATATTTCTATTGTGGGTTACATTATAACAGAAGTTTGTGAAATACTAGCACATGGAATTTTGTTAGCTTTTTACAATGGTTGAAAGTTATATTCTAAAAGCGATTCAGCACAGCACATGTCCTAATACTGATAACACTGCACTTCAATACATATATCTAATTTTTATTTAAAGCTTTCGTGACTGCAGGGATTCATATTATTGGTTCTTTCGGTAAAGTCACGTAGAAGGGAAGCAATAAAATAATAAAAATATAAAACAATAAAATTCTCACGACGTTTCGACTGCAACACAAGCAATCATCATCAGGTGTGAAAACCACAGCAAGAAAACGTCGTGAGAATTTTATTATTTTATATTTTTATATTATTTTATTGTTTCCCTTCTACGTGACTTTACCGAAAGAACCAAGAATACATATATCTAGTTATTAATATCAGTTTACATGGGTATTGGCAGGTATTGTACGCATGCATAGAAATATTTACAGGGCAATAATGCGACATAATACCAACATAAATAGCAATAAGTTAATCATAACGCAAAAATATGTAAACGTATATAAAGTTGGGCATTATTACAGTAAATATACTTTCTTAATGTGAATCATTTAAAGCTTGGTTTATCACTCATTCACAAACACACGGCAACACGCTATTGAACCAGACAAACTATTTGCGACACCACAGGACGGAACGGAAACAATTAAAGTTTAGTAATTTCCAAAACAATTCGGCCCCTACCGTTATATCTGCAAGACTTGGATGAGCCATTTGTACAGAACTGCAGGGTGAAGCGACCATGCATTGCAGCTCCTATACCAGCAGATTATTTGACTCAACGGACACCGCGTCGGTACATAACACTGGCTTAGAAATACGGCCATCCATGCATGGGTGCCGCTGTGTGGCCACGTGACTCTTGCATTGAACTTTTGACCTGGAAGGGAGGCCCACGCCCGCTGTAGGGTACATTTTCCAACGTTGGCAGCCCAAGCATGAAACCGCGCACTCTTGTCCGCTTCTCTAATTAGCGACGAACTAGCGAGAACATTTCTCAGTAAAATTGGAGAAAAAATGAGGAAGCCTTAAGATTGTGAGTCTTAAGCTTAAAAAGTCTTATTTTTTGTTGTTATACAAATGAAAATAAAAAAATAGCGACAATAACGAAATATAATGAATCCGAAAACCATTATAAATATGATTACCACATTTTATTTCAATGTTCAACATGATATATGGTACTTTAGTAAGGTTTATCAAGACGTATTTAAATAATACATTGTTCAGCTCGTATTAATCAACTGCTGGATGAAGTCCTCCCACACCTTTCGGTCACGGGGAGGTGGGGGGTTGATTGTACTTCCACGCGCTCGCAAGCAAGGAATGCTGAAAGAGAATGCCCAGGACCAGTTCAGATATAACTCACCTCCGGTGTTCGCCATGGCTGGGAATCAAACGTGGTTATACCCAAGTCAATGGTGTAACGTGCTGACGATTGTGTCACCACTTCACCACACTCAAGAGAAAACAGTAACGAAAATAAAGTAATAATTCTGAAACAGGCCGTGCATCGAGAAGTGTCCAATTAACAGTGTCAAAACCCCATTAATTGGCACGCTGATTGTGTGTGTGCGTGCCAGTGTTTCCTTTACAGACACATACCCTGCAAGGAATCCATCGTGTCCATGTAATCCTCCAGGCTGGGCTGCAGCTGAATGAGGCCTGGCTGGATGACGTCTGCATTGCTGGCGTGGGCTATGCAGATCGGGCAGACACACAGTGGGATAAATAAAATACCGTCAGCATACCAAGGCACGTGGTACACATGTTACACAGCGAGTAACAAGAGGTGGCACCGTGAATACTATATAATTTCTCAGGTATATATATTTTTTTGTTACAATGGAAATGTGTAGTGTTGTTATCTTCCCACTGCCAGAAGCACCTCCAGGGTAAACTGATTGATTACTCAAAGGAAGATTGTGAGGGTTGCTCATTTTTAATATGGGAGAGTGAGGAGTTGGGATCCATTTTTTCTCCCATGCATTTCCCTCAATATTTTTTTTTGGGCACCACTGCGGATATATTTTTCTATTGTGCTTTAAGACGACCGCAAAAAGGGGCAATAACTCGATCCAAAATACAATGAATCTTAACAATATTTGGAATGTATTAACTATGCCTTGATTCTTGATGCACTATCGACACACTATGCACAAGGACGGCGAACCCACAGTGGCTGATCACAATTTCTTGACAACCAAGTTCAACTAACTCATCAAAACTGCCGGGTGACAGGAACAGCACAACGATTAATGAGTTCACATCAGTCTTGCTTTATAGACGGGATGCACAGGACCGAAGCTTAGTTCGAGGTTAACAGCCACAAGGCCAAGCTGGGGCCAAGGGCCAGGAGTCTATGAGGTGAAGGCCAGTGTCAAGGCCAGTCAAGGCCGGGTCCTCTCGGCTCAGTTCAGTGTCAAGGCCGGTGCCCCTAAGCTGAGCTCTCTGACCGAGGCCACACGCCCATGAGGCCAAGGCCAAGGTCTGGGATAGGAGTCTGTGCTCTGGCCTGAATGATATGTTTTAGCCAGTGCTCCAATGCCCCCAGAATGGCAGAATGTCTGCAGCTACAGAAAATGGCAGTTACACCATGCACAGATACTGCATATAGGTGTGAGCGGTTAATTGGTCAGGACTGATATGTGAAGGCCAGATATGCAACGATGTTATGCACTGCAACATGCAAACTAGCTAAACGGCATTTTTTTTCAATTTTTAAATAAGTAATTATGATTAACTTGATCATTTAGTTTCATATTATATAAGGAACTACTGTGTATAAACTAAAATAATAAGATAGAATTTTACAATTTCATACTTGGTTTGCAAGCTTACAATTACAAGAAGAAGTATTACATTCACATAACAAACTTAGCAACACATTGTTTTGCTATCATTATAAAAATAAACACTTTGGAAAACTAAAATAAGAATGCAAGAAACTTTGTATAATGTTGACAAACACACGATGCTTTTTAAAGAACTGAGCCATGCAAATGTGCTACTCAGAAATACTTTGCCAAGCATAGTGTTACAGTGTGTATTCAAAGATAATAATAATATAAAGACCCTCCCTCTCCTTTAGACTCTTTCAAAGATACATTATTCATGATTAATTTGCAGTGGCTGGCATTCTATTTTATTATTTGGAATGGCAATATATTCAGGAGCTAAATGCCAATGTCAAGGTCTGCTCGCCACGAGAGGGCTTTCACACCTCTGATTAGCACGGTTAGCTGCGGAAGGCGCAAAACAAGTTTCACATATTCATATACACACATACATGACAGAGTTTGTGTCGTTTTTATCTTCTTCCTCTGTTAAAGGAGCGAAGACTACTGGACAGTGATTTAATATTTAGTCCATAGTATGGGTCGCATGGCCACAGTCGCACTTATGGCTTGTGTCTTTAATTTTCTATTTGTTACTGATGAAAACTATGCATTATTGCCGTGCCAGTAATTGGTAGGAGGAGGCACCCTTACAGTGAAACATCACTGCATGCAAGCCATTTGCGGTGTGTGCTCTCCCAAGCAGTTCGCCAAACATCAAAGTGTTATCTATTTTTGTTACTGAAAACATTTTCGATAATTGCGTGGCATCTGGAAAGGACCTCCTTTATTATTCTAGAAATGCCGCGTGTTTTAGAGAGCCAGGCAAGAGAAGTAAACCGTGACTAAAAGGGTGGGGTTTTTTTTATCATGGTTTTCTTTTAATACACACTGTGTCACAATAGCATCCAGCATATGGTGGTGAGGGTGGAGCATTCTAGCACAGGCGTGGGTGTCAATTAGGCTTGCCACTTGTTCGTGTTTGACCTGGTTCAGTCCAGGAATTGGTTTCTGTGTTCAAGTGGCAGGAATTGATTTTGTTTTACCGAGATCTGGTTGCATTGTGTTGAACTTTATCAAAGTGCCACTGCGCAGTTTTGATACACTTAGAATCGTAGACTGACTGAAAAATATGTCTTAGTTTGGTCGACAGTGGAGAACGTGGCAACCCGAATGTCAACTCTAACCAACCGGTGGTACCAACAGCCTTAACCTACAATCAGTGAGCCGGAATAGTGATTGGCAAAAGGGCAGTGCTAATAAAACATATGAAAGCATGACCAAAAGATGGCAGTGCAGCAATAGATTCTTGGATCCCATCTGTGCAGAGCTTTAAGTGTTATCTCCGTATATGTGTGAGGTTTCTTCAGCTACTCCAGTACCCTCTCACACATCAAACACAAAGTTCATAGAATTGGCCAAACAGCCCAATTAAGGACCTTCCTAAGCAAGATGATTGAGTCTCCGTGAGGCTTTCCTGAGACAACAACAAAACACATTATTCTTATAATAATCATCATCATCATCAGCAGCAATGGTCAACCCACTGCTGGATGGAGGCCTCCTCCCCAAGCTGTCGCCACATCTCATGAACCTGTGAATGTAAAATCATTTATTTCTCACGTAGGAATGTGTTCATGAATAAAACACGCTGACCTATAGCTGCGGATGGATGTTGTTTAGTTTGCGCGGTGATTCTCGCCTCGCTATAAAACCGCGCTGTAAAAACCCAACTTCATCTCAGTACGTGTTGAATGCCATCAGTCAACGCGATCCCAAATATACTCATGCTTCGACCTTCACGTTCTCCACATGGGGATTGCGAGGACACGTAGAAAATCTAAACACTCGCAGGTATTTGCACCGTGCACATGGGGTTTGTAACGGTGCATGTCGATTCATCGATTAATATCGATTCATCTATGAAAACAGTTTTTATTTCAAGCTTGCAATGAATGCATCCCACTGCGTGTGCAGGCATAAATGTTCTCCCATTTTGTATAAGTTGTGTATACAATTGGATAGCATGATTCACACAGCCAAGAGAGGATCCCACATTCACCACAATGTTAAACAAATTATACATTCTTGAATCACGATGACTCCCCAAAATCGCAACAATTTTTCGTATCGCCGGGAAAGCCAATTGTGACACCCCTATTGCATGTAGATTCGCATTCTACAAAAGGGACAAGCCTCACACGGAACACCAACATCGTGAAAGTGCAACGTTACACATCCAACAGCCAGACACTTTTTGGTTTCATATATTTGCTTTCATCGCTGCAACTACACCACAGGCAGTCGATGTGGTGGGGTAAAAGGGTGGGTGCTCTAACCCCTTCCAAGACGTCTGACCGTCATGGAAGAGTAAACCGAGTATCCTCTCGAGGGGGGCTCCCTAGATATCCCTCGAGCGGAGGCCCATCCATCAGCAGTGACGCGAGCAAGTAATGGAAGGGCTACACCTTGCACTACAAGTGGACATTGATCGCTCTGTAACCCGTAGTTTTACAAATCATTGCTGACATCTGAGCTCGTTTGTGGAGAATGTCAACGCACACATGGCTGCGGTTGATGAGGAAGTTATGCTCTTGGGTGAACTTCTAAAAAATGTGATGGCAGATAACGTACTGTTTACAGAGAACCACTTTGACCCTCACAAATCTAAACCCACAACAAGCACCTACATAGCTTGTGTTTCAACTCTGTCGATAAAAATTTGTTTTAATAAAAGCATTGCTAATTTACTGAATTGTATATTCAAGCAGTAGAAATTCTACATCACCAAACCAGGGACCATTCTCTTCCCATACTAAAGAAGTACTTACATTTTATCAACCTCTAAAAGGTGATAGGTCAAGTTTCCCTCAGACTGGAAATTGAGCTCACAGCCTCATGATTTTGAGTTATGTATTGTAACTGCAGTGCCACTTGGTAATACAGCAGAAGCTCAATAATCAGTGTTGATATGGAAAGGACTATGTCGCGGATCCTGTAATCCATGGTGTACCGCATAGGTTTACACCAAATAATGCGGCGATGTGGGGTGCTGTGAATTATGGGAGGAAAGAGCTGCGGGGTTCCATTGATCTGTGGGAATATTGTGGATTGTAGGGTAAGCATGGCACAGGACTATTGGCCACATTAATCTGCGATAAATTTGTGGATAATGAGGCTACAGACCCACATGGCACAAATCTGCCATATTGGTGTATGTCATTTGTCTATGCTAATGCAAAACAAAACATTAAAATTGCAAAAAAAAATAAAAATCCTACCTCCGTGTCTACCCTGTAGTTTTCGCTCATTCAGCTGTGCCCCCCACTTCTACTGATTGTGGTGTCCGGTGCGTGAAGTGTTTCCAATCTGCCGCGGTTTGCCATGGATATTGAGGCATTCACAAACCGCCAATAATCCGTCAATTACAGGGATTGGCGGATTATTGAATTATGGATTACTGTATTTTCTGCTCTAATACCATTAATTCGATGATAAACATATTGGTATTCGTAACATCGTTATACATTATATATTTGGCATGTCCAATGTTAGATATAGTGTTTTATTGCCAAAGCAGTTGTTACTAATTTTCTGAAAATTAATGTTATCGAATAGTCAAATGTACACGTGGAAGGGGCCGACTGTAGCGTTTTAGAGGCCTGGGGAAATATTAATGAATGAGGCCCACTCTGAGGCCTCCTTGGCTTTTTTAAGCACCCCCCCCCCCCCCCACCCTCAGATATGAGGCAAATGGAAAACTGCCCCAATCGGCCCCATCCTCTCTCTTTACGTCCCTGACACCCAGTCCGTTGCTGAATGCACTCCCAGTGCCGTGGCAGCATCAATGTACCAATTTCACGTGGGTTTGGCCACGCGAAGCTGTGCTGTGCCAGGCTCGAGAAGAGCGTGTCACTGAAGTCCATGATCATGGTGTCCAAGTGCAGTGTCCACGCCGACTCGTTCTGCTGGTCGCACGGCTGCGCCTGCTGTGTCGAATGTCCCAGTGCCACGTCATCCTGGGCGCGACAAGCGTGGGTAAAGAAGAGTGAGGGAGACAGGACTGCCAAGGTATGGCGATGTTACGATATATAGTACGGTAGAGGTCAAGTTGCAACCCTGAACTTGCTTGCTCACACTGATGCGAGCAGAAGGATCTCCTCTAAAGGAAGCCCTATAGAGAGCCTTTACAGAATATTTTTGACAACTCTAAAATATGGGAGTACCCACATTTAAAAAAATAAAATTGCTAAATACCCACATTTTACCCCACCACGCACGACTAACTCGTATGAGGTAAGGTCCATGATAATCTAATAATTTGTTGGGCAACAAATTGTTGTACGATGATTACAGTACGTATTCTATTTCAGTATTTTATTTCCTGACCAAATATTTATGAAGCAATAAACGTAATGAAAGTTCTCAATAAATTAGCTATCATCCATTAAATGAGTGTTTTGCAATGGAGTAATTGACGACAGTGTGGTTATATGACGTTATATATAAATTATTTAGCTCTTATGTCATTGACAGAATATGCATAATAAGCATTAGAATGTGTTTCCGATACATAAAATGATTAGAAGACTCATGGCAGGCTGATATTGAGTGAACTGCAGCTGAAGGACTTCACGTATTTGCCATTCGTACTAAGAGTACTACAAAGCACGTAAAAATAATGTGAAACACAATTACAACGCTATGGGAAACTGATATCGCAATAACATATCATGATAATTGATATCAGATTGAATCGTGAAAACATATTTTGTGGCAGCCCTACTCAAAAAGCTGGTGTGAACATGCATCAGTTGGGCCAGCAACAGTCGGCATTTACGAGTATCATTTATCCCAGAGAAAATTTTGCAGTATCGAAAGTAAGATTTTTCCTTGTAAAATAGTCGCATAGCTGCCCCGCATTTTTTATATTTTTACAGCAGTTTTTTTTTTATCGTTGAAACAAAAACATTCCCTTATTACTGCCACTGACAAATGGAGTTGACTGGCATGCCGCTGAGGCACACGGTTCAAAAAATGATTTACACGTGCAATTACCAACCTTGGCGAGACTTGCCAGCTCATCATCCTTGACTCTCTGCAAATGCATCAAAGTTTAAATAGCGTGAGGCACCGTAGTAAAGTTACTTAAATTGTCAGTCGCAATATATATATTTTTATTAAGAACATGCATTAACATAATTGGCTACAATAAAAATTACGTAATAGGCCGATGAAAGGCAGTACGTGGCCTTTTTTTGTACACGTGGTAAACCGAGCCACTGAACAGAAATAGCGAACATAACTCAAGTCCTAGGACACAGCCGGTGTCCAGGAGCCCCGATGGGCTGAGCCGTCAGCTTCAGGAGGGGGGAAGAGATCTCTGACAACGCGCCCACGTTGCTGGCGCCGGCCGCCTGTAATACGGCACTCTGGAGGCGGCGAGATGGGTTGGCGGATCGCACAAATGTCGCGAAATGCCACTCCCTTAGGCGTCGAGGTGCCATGGCCTGGCTCGCCATGGCCTGGCTCGTGGCACAGCAAGTGGGCCCAATCACCATCTGTTTCCGTCTGTGCCTTGAGAGAGTGTTGCCCTCCTCGAACGTGTGGGTTTTCTCTGGGTGCTCTGGTTTTCTCCCACTTATGAGTATAAACTCTCATTATTAATTAGCTGAAAGCATCTTATGATTAAAAAAAAAGCCTACGCAGGACCCTCCTGAAAAAGAGTCCTATGACTCAGTGTGGTCTTTGTGGATAGTTATGTAAATGAAAATATGAAAATACTGTTGTTATCATTATTATTAGCCTTTTGCCCGTCCAAAGACGGGTGTATTGCAGTAAATCTGAAACTTGCAATCGAAAAGCAGACGGCGACGTGTTGTTTATTGCATCAATTCGTGTGCAATTTGTAAGGCCGCGGTGACACAGACTTATTTCATGTGATGGTTATAATCCCTTGTTCATCATGACGTCCTTTTTACTTTGATGTCTCCATAGCATTACGAAGATCACGTTGCGTGAGGGTTCTGCCTTTGTAGTGAGGGTTGTAAGTTGACGCCGAGGAGGGGGGAGGAGGCGCCTCACCCCCCCATGTGGAGTGACGTCAGCCGCTAATTATTATTAATGAAGGGGGAGGGGGTGTCCATTTGGAGGACGTCACCTGTTCATGATTATTAATGAGGGGGGCTGTTCGATGTGTGACGTCACGCGTGGGACACCCAGACATTATTGGCTCATTATAGCAGTCAATTCTTATGAGTTTAAACACTGGGTATAATTTAGTCATTCATTGAATGCGGGGGTTCGAGTTTATAAAGAGGGCATAGACATGTACAACCTATTGTCAATCCACTGCTGGATGAGGGCCTCCCCACACTATGCAGGTCATAGTGGTTATTTGGCCATACTTCACCGTGCTGGTTAATGCCGCTTTGAGAGCATAGTACTGTAGTACATGACGATGGATTGTATGCACTGCCCTCTGCTGCCCACCATACAGCCCTACAGCCTAGAACACCCGTTGTGAATGATGTTCATCTATCAAAGCACCATCGAGGCCAATTTGGTCAAAGGCTACAGAGTTATATATATATACATATTATGGCACTGTATACAGTACTCGTAGTAACACATATTTATAGATGTTCTGTTCAGTAACATTGTGGCCACATCTAAATGACAAAAATATTCTACGTGACTTTACCGAAAGAACCAAGAATATGAATCCCTGCAGTCACGAAAGCTTTAAATCTAAATCCTAAGAGGGTCATTCATCCCTTGCAAAGTAATGACGCCGTAGATTTCTTCCACTAATAAAAAAAAATAAACCACACTGCTGGCCGAGTTCGGTTACCGCTCGTGTGAGATGTCTCCTGACTCAACTTTCCTGCCGCAGTTTAGCGGTTCCAAAACTAGAGCCCTGAACGGAGCTCGAGCCAGGCCCTTCGTTCCACATCGACTTTTCCACTTCTGTGATCTCTCCTCACGCCACCCGCCGTTGTGTGGGAGGTCTCGCTGAATGTACACACAATGGAGGCTCACACGCATTTGCTCACCCGTTTTTTGAAGTAGATTCTCCAGTTGTGGTATTCCTTGATGACTATTTCTATCCGCCTCTTCCAGTACTTTCCTTCAAGTATATTTGCCTGGCACAGCACACCCAAGGTTACTGTTTGTTTAATTTCCAGCCAATCCACGGCTGATGAACGTTTGGCTCATTGGGGGTTCTTGGACCATGCATCACCACCCTAGTCAGTAAAAGTTAAAGCCCAAGGGCTTGTTCAGATATAATTCGCCACTGATGTTTGCCATTGAAAGAAACGTACTCAGGTCACCTGGTGCATGGCGCAGTGCGCCAGCCATTAGGCCACACTGCTCTCTCCCAAGGCTACTATTAGGAGATCATAATGGCAAGCGCTGAGTGTAAGAACAGCATTGTCAGCTGCTGTTGCTCAGCGTGAGGGCGAGGAGGGGGTAAGATGGTACTTATTCGAAAATTGAGAAACTGCTTGGGCCAATCTTAGAGCAGGCTTCTTATTTGAGCTCAACGTGTAAAGCATCTTATTGCGTGACGCGTCGTTTATCAGTTTTCCAATTAACTTTTCTGTTCTAATAAGTTCTGTCCTTCAATAAAAGTTATTTTGTAAATCAATACGATGGATAAAAAATGCGTATGACCTTCCAAAATAACATATCCCACTTACAATTAGGTTAAAAATGTAAGCGTCCTTTATTATTCGTCAAATACACGCATTTACACGCGTAGTGTATAGGGTTTTAGCTGAAATAAGTTATATGGGGTGGATTCCATCTTGCCACAGACCAACCTATGATCAGGACACCATTGGGAAATAATGCATTCATCACAGCACACAATACCAGAAATGGACATTCAAGGTAATCTGCTCTCTTCTGAAAAACATTAAGTTAATTCATTCATTCATGAATAAAAGAAAGGCTCATTTTGATTTAAACAATGTATTACTCGGTTTTAATAATAGCATAAGCAAAAATATGAAAGCATCATCAACAAATCTAAACTCGGTCATGTGTTTTTTTTAACAATTACGTTATATTTCGTACAGTGTGACAGGGTTGACAATTTTAACAAAACATTTAACATTTTTTTATTCGCCAAATATTGCATTACAATTCGTGAACCCCTTCTCACCATCACCAATTAATTGCATGCACATATGTTGAACTTCTTTCGCACCGTGCGTAGCCAATCGTGCTCATGTAGCGGCTGTGAGTCCATTTTTATAATAATGACGATAATAGCAGGCGAAATAATCAGGCTCATCGTTCCAAAAATAATACGAACAGCGGCGTAAATTACCTGTGGCTTAAGATGCACGAGGGCATCGTGTCCATCAAGCGGCGTGACAAAGTGGCACACAGGGTTGTCCCGTCGTTCCACATCTGCGTCGTGGCAATAGAACGAGACGTAAAACAAAGAACGGCAGTGAGAATTTCGATTAAAAAAACGGCAGTGAGTTTTTTTTTTAAATATATTTCTTAGCGTGTGTGCGTTCCATGTGTATTATGACGTCCCATTGAGAGAGAGAGGGAGTCGATAAACTGACACGAGTATCGGTGGTGGGCCACTATCGCTTTGGCTGATTAACACGACGCCACGTCTTTTTTCCTGCACTGCAACTAAAATGGTTTTATTGTTTTTTTTTATCACGTAAGCACTTTTATGCATAACGACCACCAGCCCTTTAATGCCAAGCACTTAATTTTTCTACGAACACTAATGCACTGGTGTATCACGTTTAGTCGTTAACAGTGATTTAAACACTTTTCTAAGATTGTATTTGTGCTCGGCATGCTTTGCCTGGGGGTGTTTATTTAAGTTGTGCGCTCTTCGTAGGCTATTACCAAATAATTCCACGCGAAAAAAAAGCAAATTCAGCGAAACTGCTGCGATACTTATTCGTCTTCTTTACAACGCATTCCGAATGTGCTCTCGGCATCATCGTGAGATGAAATGTCCATTTGGAACTCACGCAAAGGGCTCCATCACCTCGAGGGGAGAGGGAATTATTGCAGAGGTTAATTTTGACAGCCCTTCAAGTGACCGCCTATCGCCACCAGGAGTCCTCTTACTTTCCTGCACACCCTGCCATAAGGAGGCCTGCATCAGATGTCTGTCAAAGTAAAAATGTGTAATTCTCAGAGGTGAAAATTTTCCAAATCAAGTGGCAAACCAAAGTCAATATGACAGGGTTTTTTTATTTATTGCGTGCAGTCATTGGTTACCAGTATGAGACCATGAACTCTCTATACTGGAAAATCCCGTTTAATAATGGGTGGCTGAATCCCAGATGCAAAACCGGATCTTAGTACCGCAATGTGGATAAGCCCACTCCATAGTATTGCAATGTGGATTTTTTTTTACATTTCCAGGAATGCTAATTATTTTGCTTGCGAGTACGAGATACGTCTCTGTTATGGAGAGACGTGAGCAAGCTGGGCTGTAAGTGTGAGGTTTAATGGGCTAAGGGGCTCTGCCAATTTGAGAACAGTAACGTGTGTTGATAAATAGATAATGCAGTCCAATCTGCGGTATATTGATTTTTCATTCGAGATGTGGATAATTAAAGCAACACAATACTGAATGTAATTGCCCAGAATGCACCCCGATTCCATCAGACCGCAGAAACTGAGCAGGGTTGAGCCTGGATAGCGGCTTGGATTGGTCACCACCACCATGCACATTAGACCGGTGCAGTAAGGCGTGGTTGTCAGTAGTGGGCAATGCAGCAAAAATCCACTGTCGTTATGGACTCATTCCCACCTTCACCAACCTGCACTGACCAGCGTGGTGAAGTATGGTCAAATAACCCTCACTGTCTGCACGTTCGCCATTGGACTGACAAACGGGCTGCACCTGTATTTACCTGTGCAATACTCAGAGTAAACTGCTGGGTTTTTTTTTTACCTCCTGGGCGTGAACGAGGGCACGTGGAACTGACAAGCGACGTCTGTCCCGTGATTGGCCTCACGCCTGCCTCGCCGGTAACATTAGCCTCGTAGATACTTAAAGCGATCCAACCACGTGCAGCCAACTGAAGTGTGTGTTTGCTGCGAGTGAGTGGGGAAACTGGCGAGTGTACGCGTAATTGAACTCTGCGCTAAAAGCAGCGGTGGTGGTGGGGGGGGGGGAGGGGCTCTTTCGGCCAAAGTTCACTGGGCCACCAGGCAATCACAACAAGCGAACAATCTTGCAAGCAATTTATTGACGCTCACCACCACCACGTCAGGGAATGACAGCAGATCTCTCCACCCACTGCACTCCGCAAACATTACACCTGCCACTATTGATTGCTAAAATTATTTCCTACACATTGCTAATGTAAGTGACTGAAACTAACGGGATTTACGGATTTTCCTTAATTCTCATAAGTACTCCTCTATATGTTAGCTCTGTCGGATAGATTTTTGAAACTTTGGTAAACAAAGAGACTACATCGAAACTAATGAGAAAATCACCTGGATATAGTGAGATGTCCTTGATGCACGTTACCAAGTGAGCTGAGTTAAGTACAGCTGAGGCGATCTTACCAGTGAATGGTTGTAAGGTCTCAGACAGATATCGGGCCAGTTTGTAGGTGAGTGAGTCAATGGTGGAGACGATAGGACGAAGTGGTGTACCTTCTTTATGGATTTTTGGTAAGCCATACAATCTGAGTGGTCTAGCAGCAGAGGGTTTTAAGGAAAACCGCTTGGTTGGTTCGATTAAAGATGTCGAATCAGTGATGATCTTGTTGGTTTTCGTAACGAGACTGTTGGTAGGATCTCTTTTAATTTTTGTATAGCTACCATCATTAAGTAGGTCCAGAATTTTGTTATTGTATGTGGTTTTGTCCACGATGACTGTGGCATTGCCCTTGTCGGCTGAGAGAATGACGATGTCATCTCTCTTTTTTAATTGAGAAAGCTCAAAGCGCTCATCCTTGCCGATGTTGCTACTAGGTGTCTTAGCGTTTTTGAGGATTGCAGCGATTTCCGATCTTGCCACGTCTGCAGTGATGTGTCCCAAACCCTTAAGGGCTACGTCGACCTGGGCAATGATATCATCCACTGGGATGTGTTTAGGAGTGACTGCGAAATTCAAGCCTTTAGCTAGAACCGATTTTAGGTATATATCAATAACACATACATTTTCGGGATGGAAAGGTTGCCCTAATTAACACCCCCCCCCCCCCACCTCTCCTCTTCATCTATCGGTCTCTAGGAAAATGTGTTGAGATTTTGTCAATTAAGGTTGCAAGCTTTTGTGCACATTTGCAAACCATCCTCCAGGTGCCTTCAACCCACCTGTCAAGGCAGAGACTTACACTGTATGTGCCAGGCTCGCCAGATGGCATTGTTCAGTCGGATCTTGTCTCTCCACAGCAGCTTTAGGCCCTTGAAATTCTTCCACTTCGGTGAGACCAGCCGCGCACTGCTACGAAATGCGAACGTATGAAGCCCCAAGTTAGTACTGTAATAAGCACGTTCTAGTCTTAAATCATGTTTATTACTCTGTGATAACGCCCCCATGACCAAAAACAGTGTCGAAGATTGTCTTTTCACCAAAGTTGTGTGAGGTTAGCGTCTTCTGCAACTGTTTAGCTCTCTTTGTTGCAAACTCATTCCCCCTCTCGTGGAGAGCCTTCTCTCAGCAGCGGTGTGAGCAAGCAATTGCAGGGGCTGCACCTTTGACCATTGCTTTTGTCTTTTGCTTACAAACTCCATGATGCATTTGCTTCTTTATAAAATTAATACAACTCTGTACGTAAAACTTGATTCAAATGGATGCTGGCCTTTATGGGATTGATGGATTTACAAGTAGGCCACATTTATGACGATAGAATCAGCGTTTGAGTACAAATGCTGTACTCATATAATATGTAAATGAAAAAAACACAATACATGCACAGTATATATATTTACTCTGTGGATTGCAAATGCTATTTAGATTTTAAAAACCAGGAACGATAAAAAAATGCATATGCAGTATGCATGTACTGTAATATGTTTTGACAGCGATCTGTCTCTGTTACGTATGTATGGATGTATGTTGAACTTCTTTCGCACCGTAGGTAGCCAACCGTGCTAATCGGAGGTGGACAACAAACTGAATTCAAAAAATGAGTTCTAAAGAAGTTGAGTTTTTAATTTAGCCACGTCTAAGTTTTCCTCCAGTCCTGGTTTTCTCATACTCCTGACTTCAAGGATGCTGTCCTGACATATACAAATTCCAAGATTTTTTTTCAGTTGGGCCAATAATACACCACAAGAGACAAAACATTCAAGGTGCCACGGTGGCAATATGGTATCTACCTCGCCTGATACAGGTCGTGGGTTCGATCACGACCCTGACGCCTGCTGTATATTTACAGTTTGCATGTCCTCCCCGTGGTTACGTGGCTTTTCCTCCGGGTCCTTCACATTCAGGACAATGCGTTTACAGTATTTGGATGCTATACATTTCCACACGATAAGCCACTTCGCTGAGCTTTAATTTGTGGCTAGGTTGCTTCTGAAAAAAAATAGTTCTACAGCTCAGTGGGCCTTATCTAGTAAAAAAAAATAGTTTACCTGTGATTCTCCCCTCTTCTGGAATTGACAGATGTTGCACCTCAGAGGTGGCAACCCGAGTTACGAGTGTCAACATCGCTCTTCTATGTCGGTGCTTCCATAAATAAAACAATATGCTATCTATGAAAAAACTTGGCTTCAACAGATGAACACAACACTGTCGTGCAAAGCACTCTGGGATTCGTGTTAAGTTTCGTGCCGCCGAAGACACATTTTGGCATTAACATTCGCGTTTGATTATTGCCTTTGAAGTGTCTCTTGAGGCAGATAAAGCGTTTGAGTTGGGTAACAACAAAACTGTTCTCCCAGCGGCTCGCAAATGGAGCGCGCAGCGGTTAATGAGTAACGCAGGCTTTCTGGTGCTGCTCTAAAACAAACACTTGAGGGGAGATAAGAGGGCGGCAGATGTTACCCATGAGGAGGGCACATGCATCGAGGTTTGTAACGTGTTCACGAGGTTCTGGCCAACAAGATAATAATACATTTCAACTTGTAACGCCCACAGTATTCGCTCACTCTCGTTGAGAGAGAGAGAACGACTCGGAGGCATGAGGGATCACAGACAAGCAGGAAGGCAGTCACGTGGTGAGCGGGCACTAGCAATTGCCCAAGGTCTGCGGTTCTCCGTATATGACGGTGTTATTGGCCAATTAATGGTTGTTTATATGTGGGAGGACACTGGAGCACCCTGAGAAAACCTAAGTATGCGAGGGGGAAACACTCTATTCCATACAGATGGAGCAGGTGGAGTCCACTATTTGCTGTACTCTACTGCCTTAAATCTTGATTTGAAGCTTTCGTGACTGCAGGAATCCATACTCTTTGGTTCTTTCGGTAAAGTCACATAGTTAGAAAAATAATAGATCTATTATTACACGTACTCATGAATAAGAGCCGAAATGTAGCTTTTGTGACACTTTTTGTTAAAACAGCACGTTACTTTACATACGTTATTTAATTTTCACTTAATAGTTGGCTGTAATTATCTCGGGATTTAATGTAAAAAACCACTTATTTTACGTGTAGCAAGATGTTATTATTAATTTAACCAGCTACGGAGGGAATCGTTATCAGAATGACTATAAAATACAATGTTTGGGCCACTCCCGCACCCTCATAAAAGTCCTGCCAACAATATACACGCACAACTCACCTGCCAAACCCATCTGTAGATCCAGTGCTGAGTGATGGTCTCACCCCCAAGCTGTGTTGGGTACTGGGGGTTGTTGGGCCAGACTTTGACCACCCTCGGTCAGTGCGAGATTGTGAACGCGGCAAACGTAGAATATAGGAGCATAGCAATGGGTGTTTGTGCATTGCCCTCTGCTGCCCGTCAAATTACCCCACACTCATCCTGTAACCTCGTGGTTTTTGCATCCAAGCACGATCCACTATTCAGGCCCAATCCCTGCTCATCTTCCGAAATTTGACGTTATCCAGGCGCGGCACTGCGAAGCTTCCCAGATCGGGGACAATGTCTGGCTTATTTTTGTCACACCTACCCCCCACCCCCCGTCGAGTATATGCAACGTGAATGAGGTGGGGAGGAAATGGCTTACTAAAGAAACAGTGAATAAGGAATGAGTGTTCTGAACTTGTGTTGTTTACGAATGGTCGTTGTGCCCTCAGTGAAAGATGCACAGTGTGTGTGGAGGGGTGTTGGGGGCTTTAACAAGCCACTGCGCTGAAACTGGAATTGCTTCGCAGATTCGTGAAGGATTCTTAATGGATTCATTGCCTACATCATGCCATGCCACAAATAGGCGCGCTTGAAACGTGATGAAATGCTGTGTTGCCATGTCATCACTCGGGCCATGCCCCACGGGACACACAGCCCATGTTCCCACGAACGTGCGAGCCATGCTGTCGTAACTCCTGACGTTTATAGTATTCACTTAATGCAATGCACTTCAGTCCTTCGCATTGTACTCATGACAGAGACCTCACCAGCCCACAACCCATTGCCTTAACAGACTCTTGTGGCGAGCGCTTTGAGCGAGCGCCTATGAGTGTATGCAGTTTGAGAATGATCACAAAGATCGGGATGGCACGCTGTCATTAGAACAGAAGCTACAAATTAACCGCGCTATGATGATAATGACAAGAGGCCCCTTGATCTGTGTAAACAAGACAGACTTTACTAACAGCAAACTCACGTACAGTGCTCTGATTCTATTATGCATTTTAGAATGTACTTTTCGCTTTCCGCGTTTCATGCGACACACTTTTCTCTCTTCGAAAGGCAATGTTTGGGGGTGCATCTTATAATCCGGTAGCTGTGTGTGTGTGAGCAGAGATTTGTATAACTGCATTGACACGGAGCACAAGTTTTGGGTGCGTGTCTTTTTTTTAGGTGTGTTTTAGAATCCGGAACTGTGGTTCAATTCAGGAATGTATTCGAGATAAACTAAAAAAAAACAGTTATTTTACTTTACGTACATTGCAAACATTTGACAGACTTTAAATAAAATTGCATGGTGATAGTGTCACTCGGTTAAGGTGCCATTTTGGGTGGGTTCTTTAAATCTCCGTGAATATATACGGACAAATTTGAGTTACATTCTACTACTTAGATAAAAACAACATTTGCATGTTTTACCTATTGTTATATACATGAACAAATGTGAAAATAGGAAAATGCTACACCTGTCAAGTCCAGACAAATTCCCTGCAACCTGAATCGTAACAGATATTTTTGTCCGGTCAGATCGCCACGTGAGTAAAATTCCGATGTGTGTCGTACACCCTCCGCCACCTGACTCGGTACAAATAAATAAAGTTCTCACGTGAACAAACAGGCCTGATGTTATTGCTTGAGCACACCGTACGCTGGAGAGCAATTCACAACACTGAACAACGATGTAGCTACAGTGATTGTAGGGGCTGCACCATTTAATACTTGGGTGTCTTGTTGTCAAGCTAAGCAGGCGCTGCACCTGGATTGCTCTCCCACACATCCTTTGTGGTGATGAAATAAAAATGGTTGTATTTATTCACGTGATTACTTTATATACAGATATAGTGACATAGAATTAGCCATGTAGCAGCATAGCGCTGGCTGCTGGTGGGGAAGGGGACCTGCGGCTTACAGCAGCCCTGACATCAGCAGGCCACGTGATACACAAGAGGGGATATCTGGGGGAGTGGTTACAGAAGGGGAACGTGGGGGAAGCCCGGAACCCGCTAGTATGTTCTAGAGAGGGGGAGTGGCCGGGGCGGAGCGAGGCCACGCTGGGGGCATAAAAGGGGGGCCCTGAGCGAGAGCTCGGGGCTGTCGTTTGGAGTGGGATCCCCGTCGTGCTGTTGAAGATCGTCGCCATCGTCGCTGTGGTCTTCATTCGACATTGCGCTGATAGACGCTAGTTGGCTGTCTCGGTTCAGCGCTGTCAGTGTTAGACGGCTAGCGTTGTGTGTAGGCTAGCAACAGTAATAGTGTGTACCCACGTAGCGTTGTGTGTAGACGAGCGGCCCACGTAGAGTTGTGTATAAACGAGCGACAGAAGAGTGTGGACCAGCGTAGGGTATGCATTGTACCGAGGGTGTTCGTTAAATTAAAAGAAGTGCCTCCAAGTCTTTGCGTCTCTGACCAAGTCACTACACATATACAGGGTGCTTCAAAAAAGTGTTAAAACTTATTACGGGACTATCGTTTTTTATGGAAAAAGAACGGATCATATAATGTAACATGATAACAAATTTTGATTTAAAGCTTTCGTGACTGCAGGGATTCATATTCTTGGTTCTTTCGGTAAAGTCACGTAGAAGGGAAACAATAAAATAATACAAATATAAAACAATAATATAATTTTATTGTTTTATATTTTTATTGTTTCCCTTCTACGTGAGTTTACCGAAAGAACCAAG